AGAATACTAGTGCTGTTCTCCCAGCCCAGATTCTCCAAGTTAACAGCAGTACAGTTATGTGAAGAGAAATTGCCGTTTGTGCAAATGGTGACTGTAAGCAGGAATTGTAGGCAATATCAAACACATCTCAGGTACTAAAGGGGAGATGCTCAATAGCTTGTCGATGTTGTGCAAGAGATGGAATGGAGATAGCTGTTCTTTTCAAGACAGTGTTCCAAATGGTGATACTTACATCCAAAGCTTAGCAGAGAGACATTTAGATGAGAGTTGCATAGGATGGTGCGTTGCCACTGATCACTTTTGATAGCAGGTTTGTGAAACATCAGCAGTTCAAAGTGACTTCATGAACTATGTATGCAGGATGAGTACTGCATCCCAGTCTTAGAAATATCACTGGATTTTGGGGTGGCCGTTAGTACTCCCACAGAAAGAAAACAGACTGATTTGCCTGAGTAAACTTTAGCTTCAGCTTGCTGACCATTAGTGGTGATTTTTCTTTCTTTCTGCACAACTTCGTGCCTTCTGTGGAAAAAAATTCTTATGCTTTGAAGTCAAAAACCAGCAAACCCAGAAATATGGAGTCCAATGAATGATTTCCACACGACATTAATGTCTTTAGTTTCTCACCTAGAGTTTTCCCAAGATTATAAATTAACCCTCCTAGTCTTTGTGCTCAGTGTATTTCTTACGAATCAGAATCAAGCGTTCTCCAGAAGGCTAGTGCTGCCTTGCTGATCTTATCAGCATCCTTTCCCAAGGGAGTTAGTGAGATCTGCATCCTGGTGAGTGGAGATGTTTGTAAAATGTCCTGACTTAGCTGTAAAATGGCCTGACTAGTGCTGCGTCGTGGTTGGATGCATTCCACAGCTTCTGGCATCAGTAAAGGTGAGCTGGCTCTTGCAGTTGGTTAGCTCCTCTGTCCTGCTGTGTCAATAAGATGCGTGGGAGCAACATGGTGGAAGATGATCATCATTTGATTTAATCAGCAGGGTCTTGTGTGTAAGAAGGAGGTTGAACTCATCAGCTTGAATAGTCATTAACTCCATGAATTGAGCTGTGAGGAACTCCTCATCTGGAGTGGTGAATTTGGAGGAAATGGCAGACTTCCAGCTTTAACACCTCCCATTTCCTTTATTCCTAAGAACTGGGAACGTGTTTCTGTTTCTTCATGGAATCATAGAGTCATAGAATGGTTTAGGTTGGAAACAACCTTGAAGATCATCGGGTTCAAACCCCCCTGCCATAGACAGGGACACCTCCCACTAGACCAGGTTGCCCAGGGCCACGTCCAGCCTGGCCTTGAACACCTCCAGGGATGGGGCCTCAACAACCTCTCTGGGCAACCTATTCCAGTGCCTTACCACCCTTAAAGTGAAAAACTTCTTCCTAATGTTTAATCTAAACCTGCCCTCTTCCAGTTTAAAGCCATTCCCCCTCATCCTATCGCTACATGCCCTAGTAAAAAGTCCTTCCCCAGCTCTCCTGTAGGTCCCCTTTAGGTACTGGAAGGCCGCAATAAGATCTCCCCAGAGCCTTCTCTTCTCCAGGCTGAACAGCCCCAACTCTCTCAGCCTCTCCTCATAGGAGAGGTGCTCCAGCCCT